CTTCTTGGCTATCAGGCTATCAATAACTTAGCTTCTTGGCTATCAATAGCTATTACCTCCTCCTCTGCTCCTCCTCCTGCTCCTCCTCCTGCTCCTCCTCCTGCTCCTCCTGTGCCAGCTCCTGCTTCTCCTCCTGCTTCTCCTTCTGCTCCGCTAGTTCCACCACCGGTTTCACCGCCTGGACCACATCCTCCTGGACATTCCATGCAAGGACCAGCTTGGGCACAAGGGTTTGCGCTTTGCTGTGGAGGACAAGGTGCGGCGGGTGCCTGAGCGCATGGATTTGGGGCTTGAGGAGCACAAGCAATCATTGGTTGTTGTTGTTGTGGTGGTGGTGGTGGTGGTGGTGGGCAAGGCATAGCAGGAGCAGGTTGTTGACAAGGATTTCCTTGCTGTGCAAAACAAGGTATAGTGGCGCCTTGAACTGGTGAGCAAGGGATTATACCTTGGGTCGGTGGTGCACACGGGGGAATGCCAACTTGACCAACAGGAAGACTAGAAGTTTGTCCACACATTGACGGTCCCTCCATGCAAGCGTCTTCTTGCTTTTTCATTTCGTTCCCTTTTCCATTACGATGCCTTTTCCCTGTATCTTGCGTTTGTTTCAAGGGCGATCCCTCCAAAGGGGTACCAACAAAAATTGCCATTTCATTATCTTTAATTTTAGGATTCTTCCCCTGTCCCTGACCTTGACCTTCACCTTGCTTTTGTGGTTGTGGTTCCTGACCATGGTGTCCTGATCCATGGTGTCCTTGCCCCTGATTCTCATGGTGGCCATCACCTTGTCCCAGTCCTTGTTTGTTTTGTGTCATTCCTTGGCCTTTAGGCTTCTCATTGGGATTAGTTCCATTTTGAAATTTTTTCGAGCCTTGACCCCCCTGCTTTGAAAGAGTTTATCAATTTCTTCACTAATGTTATCAATCCCGTTATCTGACGAGCTTCCAATACTATCGGGGGCAGCTGTTGGAGCAGTGGATCCGGAGCCAGTTTTTAAATTTACCGGTAGACCAGTGGTAGGGGAGGTAGTTGGTCCCATCGTAGATCCTGTTGAACTACCTCCATTTGTGCCGGGCTGGGTAGTTGGTCCACTGTCGGTTGGGATAGATGATGGCGGAGTCTTTGTTACGCTTGCATCTTTAGATTTGTTGGATCCATCTGCACTTCCTACAAAACAGGTTTTTCAGGCTTAACGATAGGTATTCGTTTATAGGTTATTATTCATTCGTTTTTTAAGGGTTTGAGAATTAAAGATTGATTTTATATTAGAATCGTTCTCTGTCTAGAAGCTAAGTGATCAATATCGTAACTTATTCAGTTAGAAAAGCTTTTCATCTTTCCAGTTTATAATACGGGTCTATAATACGGTCCTCAAACAACATCGAAAAAAAATTGTCGTGGACCATTACTTTACAATTTCAAACAATAAATTTACTTTTTCCTGCTTACCGGATCCATGTCCATCAAGATTTACCGTCAACAAATAATTCTTTCCAGCAGCATTAAGCTTAACTTCCTTAGACTCCCCTGGCTTTAGATTGATGCAACATGGTGGTGGGCTTGGGTTAGAGCTATCGCAGCAGCTCTGTTGTTGCTGTGGTGGTGCTGGTGCCTGGACAGGATACTGAGATTGATATCCGTACGACGAGCAGCATCCTTGGGCTGTGCTCTGCGGTGCAGCTGGATACTGACCATATGATCCACCAGGTGATACAGCTACAGTATTTAAGAGAACAGTGTTAAGGCCCTGTTACACGTTGAAACTTTTAGCTGTTAAGTTTGCGTGGAACTTTGACAATTCCACGGGGACGTTACACGGCGCAATTTCGTCCTGAAACTTGTTCACCACACAAGTTTCGGTTGCACGAGTAGAATGCAATTATACTTTTCGTGAAACTTCCTCGTGGCGAAAATTTTAATTCACAAAGCCTAAAGCACACCGTGTAACACCCCCGTGAAACACATTTTCAGCTAAAAGTTCTGACGTGTAACGGTGCCTTTAGAGATAGATAGCTCCATTTGAGTGCTTTGAGTAGATAAAAGGCCACAGAGGTGGATCTAGGGGGAGGTCGGTGGTTGATTCGTTTCCCTTAAACCACAATTCGATGATTGGATTATGGAATGATATACAGAAACAGATGAATACATTTGTGTATCCCAAAGCTGCATACCTGCTGGAAAGTACATGGTTTGTTTCTTGATTGCTTTGACTGCTTTTCTGCTAGCATGACGATGGTGAATCGTACGACTTTCTGAAGAAGAAAAAAGAGAATAGAGCTGAGCTGGAAGAAAGAAACGTTGAGAGTCTTGTCTAATAATAATAATAATAATA